GCTGGGAGGGCGAAAGGCAGTCTGGGAGACTGCTTAGCGTGTTGTCGGTGCTTCAGGGCACTTGCTGATGTTTGCTGAAGGGTCGTCTGGAAGCAGGGGCTGGGATGCTGGAGTGTCCCAGGCAGCAGTGACGATGCTCTGGGGACCTCCGGGCACTCAGCACACAGCTGGGACTTGTCTGATTGCCTGACGGCCATCAGTGGTGAACTGGTACTTGTTGAATAAATATCTGTGTCCCCACGACGTGCCCGGTGAGCTTCTCCAGAACGGGGTCCTCATCGCTGTTTCTGAGATGTCCTCGCGGTGCTCATACAGGACCGTCCGGGGCCATTTACTCAGGACAGACAGTGCCCCCTTCCGGATAATAAAGACGCTTCTTCGGGCCCAGGTGGTGGGGGGAGGAGAAGCTGTGAGGAGAAAGGGAAATTTCCCTTTGCCTGTTCCTCCCCTGTGTGTCCTAGAACTTCCCCGCAGGGCTGGGGTGTGAAGCGCGAGTCTCAGTCTGTAGTTTTCCATCGAGCACCCCCCGCTCAGTGTCTCAGGCCCCTCTCAGCATCTCCCTGAGGCTCCCCGTGGAGAGCAAGCCAGGCGGGCTGGGGCGGAGAAGGGCCGTGGCCCCGGCCGAATTCACACGGTTTCCCCTGTGCTCGGCGGGCCCGGAGTGATCGAGTTGCTGCAATGCCCTGTCCCCATCCCCACCGTGTGTCAACTGTACAGCTCGCTGCAGAGGGGTACCAAAGTCCGTGTGATTACCTGGCCGCAGCCACTCAGAACAGAAGACCCAGCCTCTCCGGGAAGGGGCGCCAGAGGGAGGAAAACCAGGCTGGGCAGAGGGTGAATTTCCTAGCTCTGTCATTCAGTCAAAAGTGTTACTTCACGCCTACAGTGTGTGGGGCTTTTCTGCGAGGACCTGAGGATACACATGTCACCTCCCCTCCACCTCACGAGAGAAGAGCTGCCGTGTTTGACCTCGCCTCCCTCTAACACCCGAACTCCCGCACTCAAGCCCACCCAACCCCGCAGCTTCAGCCCCCACTGGGCATTCAGAACAACTGGTGAACTCTTGGGGGCAGGAGACCCCATTTTACAACAGATAGGGCTCCCTAAGTTACCTGGAAAGCCTACCTAAGACAGGCCTGTTTCCATACTGGGGAGGGCCCAGAGTCGAGATGAAATAATGAATCCGTTATCTTGCTGCAGTGAAACCCGTCGAATGTTCTCCTCACCACAGTCATCTTCTAACCCGTGCACACTTTTAGAAGGCCTGGCGTGGAAGGAACCTAGTTCCTGAGCACCTAACTCAGCCTAGGTGCTTTACATGTCACCCCATTTTGTCCTCACAAGAACCTTGAAATGTAGAAATTATTAGCCCATTTTACAGATGAGAAAACTGGGGCAAATAGAAGCTAAATGATGTGTCCTAAGGCTTCATTTACTGGCGGTAAATGAGGGAGCTGGGATTTGAAGCTGGGCCTCTTGGCTCCAAAAATCTTTGCTTGTTCCACTGCAGCAAACTGTTTCCCAGACCAGGAGTATCTAGAGGGCAGGGGTCACTTTTCATAATTCTTTGTTTCTGCCTCTAGCATTTAATATAGTGCTGGCTCAGAGTAGGCATTTGGATGGATGATGGAGGGATGGAAGGATGGATAGAAGGAAGGAAGGAAGGATGGATGGATGGATGGATGCAACTCGAGGGAAATTTTGATTTCAGTCTTCCCTCTTCTGAAAGGGCATTGCTCTCCCAGAAACAGGGGATAGACTAGGGCTTGGAAGGACGCATGTCTTGCTTTTCTTGGACAAAACTACTGGTGCTGAGCAGGACTCTCAGGCCACAGGATGCAGGTTCTTTCAGCTCCGCCTCTCTCCTGCCTCCTGGCAAAAATGCTTAGTTAATAAACGTGTAGCCTTCTTTCTGGGGCCTAGTGCAACCTGACGCCTGTGGCTGGGGAGTCCAGGGGGCAGCAAGGATGTCACTGAGCTCTTTCTGGGCTTTTCTGTTTCATTGACAGCCCAATGCAGAGGCGGGGGGAGGGTGGAATCATGGAAAATAGGATGGATTTGCTTGAAATATGTCCCCAAGGCAGCTGTCCCTACACCCTCCACTGGACTCTAACAACACAATGATGTAAATACTACTATTCCCATTTTATAGAGGAGCAAATTAAGGATCGGAGCGATGAACTTGCCCAAGGTCACAGAGCACATAGACCCAAACCAGGCCTGCCAGCCTCCGTAAAGGGGTACGCCTGGCAGACTGTGGTGTCTGGGTCTATGCACATTCATCTGAGGAGAGTGAGGCACTGTGTGTGCGCATGTGTGGATCTGAGACCTGGGTGTGATCTGAACACGGTCTGAGGTCTGAGGCTCCACAGCAGCCTGACGGGTTCAGTGCCCCCTCCGTGGCTCCCCAGTCCCCACGGGCTCCAGTCCTAACTCTCCGGGTACCGCTGCGCTCCTCTCTCCTTCCAGCTATCGCTTGACCTGAGGCCCTATGCCTGCCTCACAAGAACCTTGAAGTGTAGGAGTTGTTAGCCCATTTTACAAATGAGAAAATTCGGGTGAATAGAAGCTAAATGATGTGTCCTAAGGTCTTCTTCTCTGACAGGTGTGGCCTCTGGACAAAGGGCTCCCCTTCCTTTTCTGTCTTCTTCCTCTGGGACCTGCAGGATCTGAATCTGCCCTTCCAAGCAGAGCTCCAGTAGAGGGGACAGAAAGCGGCCCCGCCCCCACTACCCCTTTGAGGGGGCAAAGCCACGTCTGGGTATTCCTGCTGCCGTTCCCTGACGTGACCCCTGGCTTTTAGAGCAGGTCCCGATCAGCCCTCCCCCCACTGGTCTCATGACCTCACCGTTGGGCTCTCACACCCGTGACCCCATCCAGCCCTACAACAAACCCGTGTGTGGGCGGGGTGCCCAGTGTTACCTCCATCTGCAAAAAAGGAAGACCTGAATTCCACCAAGAAACACAGCAGGTCCGAGGCCGCTGACGACTAGAAGCCGTGTCTCCTGACCCCAGTGCCAGCGGGTTACTTTCACACTGTATCACACCGTCAACCAAGCTCCGAAACAGGGTTCAAACCACCGTGACTGAACTGCTCACCCCCCGCCCTGGGCCTGGCAGATCCCTGCAACTTTGCTAGGATGGAGAGAGAGACATACCTCAGCCTCAGAACAGCCTTCCCAGACCCCCAACCCTAGACCCTCAGGATCCTTCCCACGCCCACTATTCCTTCTGAGACCTTGCTTCTCTTCCACAGCGTTTGTCATCCTTTGTCCTTCAAGAGATGTATCTGTCTTTGCTCCTCGTGAATCCTGAGCACAGCACCATGCAGTAGGTGTCCTGGAAATGTCCTCAGACGGGTGGAGACGCCAGGTGTGGGACCTCGAGGCCCACACGTTTCTCTAGCAGACTTATTTCTTCCATCTTAGGACTGCCTTGCTCCTGGCACACTGGGGGGTGCCCAGCCACTGTCCAGGAAGGAACCACCAAGGCCAACACACAGCAGGGCTGCTGTCACCGATTTTAATAAACTCTCCCAACGGCGAAGAATCAAAACCTGAAGCCTTCGGTGCATTTTCCCATTAACTGACTCGTAAGAAAATCGCCCAGGAAATGCCCTGCACCTCCCAGGAACAGCTCGGGAAGAAGAGCTACATGAACAGAGGTGGGGACACAGGAAGACATGCGGGGGGAAGGGCTGCTGTGTGTCCCCGCTCCCCCGTGGGCCCCGGACACACGCGCCCGCTCCAGCTCCAGGCACCTGCCCAGAGCCAGGCTGCGGCGCACGCCTGTGGGAGCCGGGGGCGGGGGGCGGGGGCGCCAAGGCCAGACCCGCTGACCCCGACGTCGCACAGGCTCTGCCTCCCACCTGGCTCCTCTCTGGGCGCGTCTGCGCGCTCAGGCCCCGCAGCCGAGCGGAGGTCCCCGCGGTGCGCCGCCATCGTGGCCGCGCCGGGGCTGCCGCATCCGCATCTATCCATGTTCCTTCCGAGCGGAGCAGCGTGGTGGTCCCGAGGCAGCGGCTCCCTCTTCTGGCCCAGCCGGGTAGTGCCCTGCTCCGCCCGCGGTCCCTGCTGTCCCGCTCTCGTACCCCTGACACCAAGCCCCTGGCGGGCGCACACAGTTTGGACAGGCGAGGTCAAGGCAAGGAGACGGCAGGGGAAATCGGGCAGGAAGAAGCCCAGCCGCTCTCCTCCTCCTTCCTCCAGCGGGGGCTCAGGTGCCTCCTCCTTCTCCCCTCCATCGCCTTTTTTTTTTTTTAATTAACTGATTTATTTATTTTTGGCTGCGTTGGGTCTTCGTTGCTGTGCACGGGCTTTCTCTAGTTGTGGCGAGCGGGGGCTACTCTTTGCTGTGGTGCACGGGCTTCTCATTGCGGTGGCTTCTCGTTGCTGAGCACAGGCTCTAGGCGCGCGGGCTTCAGTAGCTGTGGCACGAGGGCTCAGTAGTTGTGGCTCACAGGGTCTAGAGCGCAGGCTCAGTAGTTGTGGCTCGCGGTTTCTAGAGCGCAGGCTCAGTATTTGTGGTGCACGGGCTTAGTTGCTCCGCGGCATGTGGGATCTTCCCGGACCAGGGCTCGAAGCCGTGTCCCCTGCATCGGCAGGCGGACTCTTAACCACTGCGCCACCAGGGAAGTCCCTAAAAGCCCCACTTTAAAGTGAGGAGGTGGGCAAGGCAGCAAGGCGGGGGTGGGTCGGGGCAGAAACCAAGCGGAACTGCTAGCAGCTGGTGGGAAGAACGTGGATTTAATGGAATGAAGGGCGCCAAACAGAGCTCTCCCGCCCCGCCCCCGCCTGCAGCCTCACCCCACCTCCCAAGGCCCCTCTCAAAGGGGATGCTCTTGATCCTGGCCTTTCACACCTGTCCAGCCACCCCTGGAGCAGGGAAGTTGGGGTGGGAGATGCCCAGCTCAGAGGTGGATTCCAGCATGTCCCCTCTTATCTTGTCTACCCCGGGTGGTGCGGGGCAGAGAAGCACAGCAGGGCTGCTTCTGTGCCTTCCTTCTGCAACTGTCCCCACAGCCAGGCTCACTGGCCCCTTGTCCCAGGGCCTGCCCCCTAGCAGTGAGACTCCAGTTCCGACGTCCTGGGCGTGGCCGGGGCAGAGGGTTCCGCTCGGGCCCACTGGGGCAGGTCCTCAGCTGGGCACATGAGCTGGCGAACTCTCTGCAAGCAGAGTGGAGGGGTCCGTCATGAGCCGGAGAGGGGGCAAGTCTGCCAGCGTCCCGCATCACTGCCTCCCCAGAGGTGCCAAACCTGCTCTCCAGGTGCCAACACCCTAACCACAGCGGTGTCTTGGAGGCATCCTGTCTCTTCCTGGGACTGCTCAGCACTCCCTCTGTCCCTCTGACCCCACACCAGGGTCCCTGGCCCTCCTGTGTGCCACCTGCTACCCAGGCAGGCAGCCACCTGCCAGCAAGGGGACCCCAGCTCATCCTCTGACTGCTTTCCTCCCCACCAGCTCCCTACCTCTCTGAAAGAGCCCTTGAGGGTGCTGAGTTTGTAGCAGCTCCAGGCGGGAATGCAGATCATGGAGGAGAGAGCCAGGAGCCAGCCCAGGGCATCGCCCCACCACGGGTACAGGTACTTCTTGTTGTAGGTCAGTGGGGTGTACTTGATCAGGGAGGACAGGAAGGTGGCCTGAGGGTGAGAGGAGAAGAGACGCGGCTGGGGGAGCATGGGTCCCCCCGACCAGCTGGGCCAGTCTGCCTCCGAACTCCATCCACATCTGCTCAAAATCCACACCCCCAGGAGGTACTTCCGGGGCACCCACCCTGTCCCTCCAGGGTCCCCGTGCCCCTGGGCATCCTCAACTGGGACATGGCTCTGTGCCTGGCCGTGAGCACCTGGAGGGCAGGGGTCATGCCTGGGCCGCCCCGGCCTCATCATACTTGGCACACAGTGGGTGCTGCTGACACAGGTAAAGCCAGAGCAGCAGCGCTTAGTGGCTCAGGCCCAGACTCCGGAGCCAAGCTGCCTGGGCTTGAGCCCCAGCTCTCGGCCACCTTCCAGCTTGGGCGAACTGCTTAACCTCTGGGGCTTCCGTTTCACCTGAAAAGTGAATATAAGGGTAATTCTTACTTCGTGGGGTTCTTGTGAGGATTGACTGGGTTAAATGCGTAAAGCATTTGGTACCCGGCAGGAAGTAAGTGCTCTGGAACTGCTGCTGTTATCTCGGTGCTTATCGGTATTGTTCTCAGCAGCCCGATGCACCTGCCACATTAGACTCACACCGTGGGGTTGAGTCTGACAGCTCTGGCCCTCAGTTGATCCTTCTGTGAAACGGAAAGGAAGAATCTATCCTGCTGGCATTTTCTAGAACCCAACAGGAGGATGAATGAAACTTTTAAATGATTTTCAATGCCCACGGGTAAGTACCTTCTAGGGCTATGGCCCGTCTACCCTTCTGCTCTACCATCTCTCTCCCTTCATCTGGCTTTCCTCCCGGAGGTCATCGTTTTTTTGTTTTTTTCTTTCTTTTTTTTTTTTTGCGGTACACGGGCCTCTCACTGTTGTGGCCTCTCCCGCTGCGGAGCACAGGCTCCGGACGCGCAGGCTCAGCGGCCATGGCTCACGGGCCCAGCCGCTCCGCGGCACGCGGGATCTTCCCGGACCGGGGCACGTACCCGCGTCCCCTGCATCGGCAGGTGGACTCTCAAACACTGCGCCACCAGGGAAGCCCCCCGGAGGTTATCTTACTGTGCACACAGCCGGTGTGAGGAAGAGCCAACAGTATTTGATAAGGGGCCACGGCCTGTACCCAATCATGTCTTCAATGTTGTCATAGAAGCGCCCGGCACCTGCCACGAAGAAGAGAAGGAAGGGGGAGAAAGGACATCCTTTCGCATCCAAAGCATCAGGATGGGGACCACACCAACCAGGAAGGGCAAGGACAGTCTGTAAAAGACATCGTGGCTGTCTTCTCCAATCCCTGCTGGGAGCAGAGCCTTCCCCGGATGGAATTCGTAGGCATAAACAGCAGTGGGAAGAACCTGGCTTAGGCAAAGGCAGGAACTTTCTGGTGATCAAGGTTGTTAAAGGCTAAAAAGCTCTGGGTAGGATGGGACACGGGCCCACCTGGGTGGCCCGGGAGCAGCCAGCACCAGGAGGGTGGACAAGGCCGCCTCTGGAGGGCTTTTCCAATGGTAGCAATGTAGGTAGGATTCTTGAGATGTTTGAGGTTGGGAGGGAGAGAAGTCTGAGGAGAAGGTGGGTGTGAGCAGTGAGGTCTCTCTTTTGTCCGAGGGCCCTGGGCAGGACCACGGGAAGAGTCACTCACCGTAGGCCCACGCCACACAGAGGGACTCAAAGATGGCCACGAACAGGAGGCACGTGCCACTGGCTGCGTAGTAGTCAAAGAGCTGAAACACGTACATACCGCCCTGCCCGGGAGGAGAGAGACAGAACTTTAGCCAGAGGAAACAGGCACCCTCGGGGCACGGAGCAGAGGTGGGGAGGGTCACAGGAGACAGAGACTAAGGGACAGTGTAGTTTGTAAGCTGTAAAGCACTCGGCAGACGTGGGACAATAATAATGTTTGATTATTGTTTTTGGAAGGAAGATGCATGAGAGAGCCCTTGTTAGCTCACCCCTGAGAACACGCAGGGGGGGACCCAAAAGTCCAGGACAGCGTGCATTTTGGGCAGAGGGTCAGAATAGGGGCCGCCACGGGTGTCATCAGGCTGATGAGCTCCATCCCCCTCCTCCCCTGAGACATCACTCAGAATGTCACCCACCCCAGGGCTCCCTTTCTGCCTTTGAAGTCTGTCCCTGGAACGTGGGCCAGCTGCCTGGGAACTCATGGGATCTTGCTGGAGAGGCGATTCTTCCCAGCCCAACATGTCTATACCTCTCAGCTTCCGTGGAGGCAAAGCACCCCTCCGCCACGCCCAGAGCCAGGTGCTCAGTGCTTCCTGGGGTGGGAAGGGGCCCTCGGGCCCCAAAGCCCAGAAGGCGGTGACCTGAAACTACAGCAGCCTGCCCCCCCCGCCAGGTGGCAGTCACCCACCTGGGCTCTCCCCCTCGCCGGGCCCCACCTGCAAGCCGCCCAGCCCCTCACCTCTGTGAGCATGACGAGCCCGACGAGGAAGGAGGTGACAGACACCCCCAGGATGAGGACCTCTCTCCGGTTCTTCTTGCGGAATACACCGGGGTACATGTCCACCAGCGCCGTCACCAGGCTTTCCACGCACACGAACTGGACGAGAGGGCGAAGAACTGGAGGACAAGAGCCCTCACGAGAGGCTCCGTCAACCAGCTGGCGCCTCGCTCCCGGGGCAGCCCTGCCAGCCTCCTGCCAGCCCAGGAGCGGACCCCCCTCCAAAGCTCCCTTTGTTCCCCAGCAGGGCATCTGCGCCTGACACTCGCCCAGCCCCCAGCCCACACACACCACCGTCCCTCGGGCTCTGAGCGGCCACCTCTCGATACCTGGCTATCCAGTCCCAGGAGGACGACCATGAAGAAGAAGCAGCAGGCCCAGAGGGGCGAGAAAGGCAGCATCACCACAGCCCGGGGGTAGGCGATGAAGGCCAGACCAGGGCCTGCGGCAGGGAGAGAGGGACACGGCCCAGTGCCACCCCAAGGTGGGCTTCCCAGTGTGGGACACGGGACAGCGGAAGCCCAGAGCTACTCCCCTGCACCGTCCCCACCCGGGAGAAGCCACCCAACCCTGACCCGGTCCCCAGTCTCCAGCGCATCGCCCACTGTTTTCTCACTGGCAGCAACAGAACCTGAAGGCTGTGAGTATTCTACGGGATATGCAAAGAGAAGAGGACGGGGGTCCGTCACCTGCATCTCTGTAAGTTCTACCTCACATCCTGAGGGCTCACTCTCCAGACCTATTGCCCCCAAACCAGAGCTTTCAAACTTAAAAAGAGCTTGGGGGCCAGGCAGGCCGCGGACGCTCGTGAAGCTGCCCCAGCGTAAAAGGAGGGAGCGGCGGACCTGGAGCCGTCCTGCCCCCTAAGGCAAGCGCTGTGTGGTTTCCGTAAAGTTCCAAAGAAAATACCTCCAAGACTAGACTGGGTCTGGGGCCACCGCTGGCCACCGCTGCTCCCCGAGCCTCTTCTGTCACCCTACAGCAAGTCAGCTGGCGTGAGTTTCAGAATACCCACGACACACATCCTCTCAAACACACTGCTGCCCTCAGCTGGCTCAAACGGCAGGAACAGGTCACATGCCAGTGCCGGGTCCTCGATAGGAAGCTTCGTTTGAGAGGAAGGGTATGACCGAGGGACCCGGGACAGTGGTCAGCTCCTCCGCCCGTCTCCCGGCTGCTGGGACCTGCCCCACGCACCAGCGGACACACGGCACCGAGCCTGGCACAGGGCTGTGCTTCGTCAAAGAGAAACACGATCGTTCTTAATAAGAACCAGTGATGCCAGTTTCCCGTTGCTCGGCCCCCTGTGTGACGGGGGGAGCTCGTGAACCCCACGATCAAAATCATCTTGTTACAGGTGCAAGTGGGTGGTCCACAGGCATGGGGGGCGAGCCAGGCAAACACCGGCCGCTTACCCAGATGGGGGATCCGTCTGTGATTTTATTTAAAAGCAAGAGCAGCACCGCGTGGTGGGAAGGCAGGCACTTAAAGGAGGAGACTCCACGTGCCGGGAGTTAACTTACCTCTGAGACACACGTTAAGGGGAACGAGACACGGCAGGATGCATGACAATGTATACAGCACGTTATCACTTGGTTGTTACGAGGTGTAAGAGACAGAAACAGTAATACGGACGCGTGTTTGAACGTGTACGTACAGATGTGTGTGTATTCTTTTTCTCATAAAAGCCTAAACTATTTCTGGAAGTAAAACTATGAACCTGGTAACACTGGTTGCTTCCAGGGTGAGGAGCTGGAGGCCAGGGTGCAGGGGACAGTGTTCTCTGCACACCTGTTCGCCTTTTGAAGCTGGAATCGCTGTTTAAGTCCATCCCAGGTCTCCCTGGGACGCAGCCACTGAGAGGTCACCCACAGTGTAGGTGACAATAGGAATGCCTGTAGATCCAGGCGGGCTGGTGAAGGTTCAAACAAAGCTCACAGAGTCCCCTGTCTTAGGCCCCCCGCACCCCCCAAAACACCACCCACCTGACTCGGCCACCTCAGAGATGGGCACCCCCTGCTCCTGGGACATGAAGCCCAGGATGGAGAAGATGGCAAACCCGGCCACGAAGCTGGTGCCGCTGTTGAGGAAGCAGAGGGCGATGCAGTCCCTGCAGGCGGGGCGGGGAGGTGGGGACAGCAGGGTCAGAGGGGCAGCCAGCGCCTCAGGCTAGGACACAGGAACCCCAGGTGACGCCGCCGGCCTGGCAGGGGCAGAGGGAACCCAAGGGGCTGGTTCTGTCCCCCCCAACTCCATGGGCTCAGACTTGGACTAAACCCACAGTCATCCTGCAAGAATGAGACCCTAAGGAAGTAACAGAATCTAAACACTACCCATGGCCACACAGCTCCCCTTTCCCATCACGCTGCCACTGCGCCTCCTGGGACACTACCCCTGTGACCCCCGCATGCCGGTACGTTAATGGAGAGGAGAGGGGCACGGAGAACCCAAGCAACAGGTGCTCTGTACTCACCTAAATTCAATTTTGAAATGCATGATGTGATTTTGTTTAGCTAATACTAAAACTGGCTTAAATTCTCTGACATGAGTCAGGTGGGCCCGAGGGAACCACAGGGAGGGGATTCAGTGTTTGCTGGGGCGCAGGTACAGAGCACACAGGACCAGGCTCTGTATGACGTCACTCCCGAGCTGGGCTGCTTGCACACCTGTGCCCACTGCCCTCTACATTAGCCCCAGGCTGGGCCCTGCTGGGGGTTCCCGGCCACCCATCACCGTCCCGTCCTGGGGGAAGCAATCCCTCGCCCGTGCTGCCACTGGCTCCTCTCACCACCTGGCAGCCCTGGGGGTTGGAAAATGGCGTGAAGGCAGGTGGGGCGTAGGGAAATCCACGAGCTGGCGCACCCTCCACATCTCCCCTGCTCTAGCACACCTGGAGGGACAGGCACTCAGGCCCTGCCCCCGCTCACCTGTAGCAGTTGTTGTGGTACTTGTTGTAGCTGCCCAGGGCCGTCAGGCACCCTAGGCAGATGGCGAAGGAGAAGAAGATCTGGGTGCCTGCGTCCATCCACACCTATGCAGGGAAAAGACGAGAAAGCTGTGCCTCAGGGGAGCCAGGCTGTCCGGGCTCCACGGACCACACAGGCCTACAGCCAAGCCAGGCACAGGACGGCAGACCCCTGCCCTCAGCCCGCGCAGGCAGCCCCGCGGCCATGCTATTCCGATGCGCTCGACTTCCCGGGCCCCCTAGATGGAGTTTCTCGGGCACCCCCAGGATGGCACGGGCATCAGGCATTGGAGAAAGACTGAAGGACCCACGATGGAGGCCGACGAGCTGGTGCTCTAGAACCGAGTGGGGCCTGGCCCGTCTTTTCTGTAATGGAAACAAAGCCCAGGGCTCTACCTCCACGTCCCCCACCCCAGGTCCCCCGGCAGCGTGCCGAGATTGGAAGGATCCCAGCGACGGGCTTTGCGGGGATGCGGGTCCTTTGCGTCAGCGCCTTCACGGGCACGTAGCTTTGCCCCTTGCGCCTCAACATCCTCTGCAAAACAGGAAGAGCGAGCCCCAGGTCACGAGGCGTCGAGAGGATGGACAGAAGTCATCTGTGAAGAGCTCTGTACTCCCTGGGGGGAAGATAGCTCTCCAGCTAAACACAGGGTGTGGCTGTGCTTGTTATTATCTCAGCTGGCTGGCCCAGCCTGTGCATGCTAGGATTTAGATTTAACAGCTAGAATAACATCCCACAGGGAAAGAAGATCAAGGAGAACGGGACTTGCGGCGCTGCAGACCCACAGGAGGTGGGGTCCTGCGGCCACAGACCCTCCCGGGCACCTCCTGCCTTCAGGGGACCTGAGCACCAAGCCGTGGCCGCGGACATCGCCAGGCTGGTGTCCTAACACTTTTGGGTCCGCGTTTCTTGTCTCATGTCCGCCCTCCTCGTGAGCCCCCAAACAGGCCTCCGTTCTCCTTCCACTAAAATTGGGCTCGCAGGGCCCACGGGCACCAAAGCCTCAGCTGCTTCTGTGTACAGCTCCTCGGCCCCTACCTGTTCCCTCCCCACACCCCTAACCTCCCTCCTCTCTCACCACTCACCCCCCCAAATGCCCACTCTCCTCGGCATTGCGGTGCGTCTGAGGGAACCCGTGCCAGCTGACAGCATCAGAACGCAGACTCCTCAGCCAGCATCCCCGGGTGAGACCCTGAACTAGGCCTAGAGGAGAACCCGGAAACCTGTATTGTTTCAAAGCTTCCTGGGCGACCCTAATGACCAGTCAGATGTGGGTATCCCTGCCTTCCAGCCCCTGAGCACTGGCATCCACCCGGGCACTCTTTCCTCCTGCTCTCCCTCCGCTTCTGCAGGGATGGGGACAGAGCGGGAAAGAGGGTGAGGACAGGGGGAGACTGTCTCTAACCTTCTGCCCCTCCTGCCCACGGGGACCCCCATCCCCAGGCTATGAGGGAGGCAGGAGCTGCCACCAGGGACAGGGTGTCCGGGGCAGGAAGCACAGAGGAAGACCCCAAGGGAGGAGCCAGGGCCAGCAAGGAAATAGGCAAGGTCGAAAACACCAAGGGGAGCTTCTTTAAACCTCAGGAAAAATGATCATGGGGAAAGGAGAGGGGGTCTCGGAAGCTGGAGAAAGAAAGGGCAGGAATGAAAGGAGAGAAGCCGAGGACAGGCCACAAAACTCCGAGGACGCCCCGGACTGAGGACGTGCCTCGGGGAGCCTGGTTGTTCCTTTGCAACGTCTCAAATCCTTTCCTCTTCTAAACCTGCCCCAGACTCTGTGAGGAGAGTCCTCCCAGGAAGACCCAGTGGCCTCTGGTCTGAAGGTCACTGTTCCTTTTTGTTCAACCCCCAAGTGCGGGTTGCTGTGGCAAGAGGTTCTAAGGTTGTACAGGAAGGATCCCACCAGGCTGGGATGGAGGGCCGGGGAGGTGTCTCCAGGCCGGTTATCCAGGACGCGGCCCCGGACCTGCCCAGCCTCGGGCCCCCGAGGCCCACTCCCCGTGCCTGGCGGGTCCCAGGCTACAGCCTGACCCGCCGTCCACGCAGGAAACTGTTTCCTCAGAGATGTTCCGTGGCTGCGCACGTGCAGATCCCACGGTTAGGAAGTGTTGCAGACTTGGGCTTGGGAAGAAGAAACAAGAAAAGCTGTGACTTGGCAGGTCACCTCGCCCAGAGGGGGAGAGACTAAGACCGAGTTGGGAGGAGAGGTTGAGGAGGACGGAGGAAAAGGCAGCAGGAGGCGTCAGCGCTCAGAGTGCGGGGCTCAGACTGGCTGGAGGCTGGCGAGCCGGCTCCTTGCAGCTGCTCCTGGCCAGCCTGCTGGGGCGGGAGAGCCGCGGGGCCGCGGGAAGGGCCGGAGGACAGCAGGGCAAGCCATTCTCTACCCCCCACAGGCGACCTGCCACGTGCCCCGTCCGCGAGCCCTGGTTTCGGGAGCAAAGCTCCAGGGTGTGGTTGGCTGGCGCAGAAGACTGCCCGACAATACAAGCGAAAAGCGCTTCAGGGAGTGTGGGCTAAAGAGAGGTCTTGGAGGGGCGACAGAGGAAGAGAGAATTTCTAGAAGGTCCAGGAAAGATGTTTTCAACCTGAGTCCAACCCCAAGGACTATTACATTTTCTATTTTCAGGAAGGCAATCGTATGTAAGCCTGGGCTTTGGAGTCAAACTGAACAGAGTTCAGTTCCTAACTCTGTTAATAACTAGCTGTGTGATCTTAGGCAAATCACTTAACCTCTCTGAACCTCACTTTTCTCATCAGGAAAATGGGTGTAATAACAAGTAAAATAACAAATGGGTATATTAAGAAATAGAATGGGTAAAATAACAAATAAAAATAATGTATGTAAAATGCCTAACACATAAAGAAATATTAGTTCCCTATCCCACTTCAGAATTAATTCTAGAATAATAAAAATCAACTCTTAAAACTAATCATTCCTATTCTTTGGGAAATGTATATCATGGTGATTAAGGCAGAAGACCCCCAAAAGACGACTTGGGATGAAACCCAAGCTCCCCCTCCATGCTTGTTTCGTAGTTTGGGGCAAATTTCTTAACTTTTCTAAGCTCCAACTTCTTCATCTGTAAAATGAGGCTACACCTAACTCGTGGGATTAGTGTGAGGTCTAAACTGTCTTGTGCTCTTAGGGAAGGGCCTGGCAGACAGTAAGCACATAATACACGTGTCAGCTATTGGCCTATTTGTCGTTGCTGTTATTTTAAAGAAGCAACTCACCTTCCAGTAATAATAAGGTCCCATAGGTTTCAATGCATGACAGCAAAATGAAAAGACTCGTTCTAATCAATGGCTCCAACCTCCTTCCCTAAATAAACCCTTCCTTAGAGAGCTTAAGGTAGAGGTTTCAGGTGTTCAACAAGGACTCTCCGGACACCTCGTCCCCAGCCCCTGTCCTTATCGATCTACCAAAGTGCAGTGGAACAAAGGGTCAGCGTGAGGGAAAGAAAAAGCGCCAGGACCCAGCACATGCTGCACCAGCGGAGTCTCCCGGGGCCGCTCCCCAGTGGGAAGGAGACGGCGCTGGGGGGCCGGGAGAGGCAGCAATCCCCCACCGCACAGCAGCCTGGCCAACGAGATAAACTCAGCAGTGTCTCCGCCTGGCTTCCGCTCCAGACCGAGAGCTTGGCCGAGAGAGGCGCTCTGGTCTTTGTGCTGCAGGAATTTTGCAGCTTTCTCAAGTGCCAGGCAAATGCAGGTTGGCATTGGCACACTTCCTGGGGAGCGCCAGCTACTTCCCATTAGGGCTCTGGCGGGGGGCATCCCGCCCTGCAGAGGCTGCTCTGCTCACTGACAGAAAGGTGGGCTTCAGCAGGAGGCCAGGACCAGCCGTTAGGAAGTCTGCTCGGAAGCTCAGGACCAAGCCTGGCTCTTGGAACGTCTCCCTCCCTGGGCTCAGAGGATTCTGAAGACATCGCTGCCTGCACAGCCTGCAGCTGCCCAGGTTGGAAGGATGGTGTCCTGGAGAGAAGCCTGAAAGAGGTCTTATTCCCTGCAGTAACCCAGACACAGAATTACGGCCTTTTAACTCTCAGAGTTGAAGGCGCTCTGGTCCACCTTCTTCTTATTTGCCGGCAGCTATTACGTAGCAAACGTTACACCTAGAACATACCTGGCACAAAATAGATGCTCAATAAATCTTTGCTGAATGAATGAGCTGCGAGAGAAACAAAGACAAGCAGACAGGACGTTGCCTTCAAGAGACCGTAAAACCTGTGGGACTTGTCACCATGCAGACCTGGATTCCAGGTGCAGGTGTGCGGATGGAAAGTTCTTTAAGCTCTCTAGGCCTTAATTTCCTGTCTATAAGATGGGGATGCCTCATTGGTCAGCGGTGAGGATTAGCTGAAATAATGCATGTGACCCTCTTAACGATGCCAGGGCCATAGCGGGCGCTCAGCAGTTGTTAGCTAAAAAGCTGGTCAGGACAAACAGAGCGTCGATCACAGAAGCCATAGGTCAGTTCCAGAGACGCTGGACCCTCTCTCCCTTTCTTCTTTCATTCTACCTGCCTGTCTCCCAGCCTGATCTCCAGGAGAAGGTGGCTTGCGGCTCAGCCACCGGTTCACACCGCTGCCCCAGAACCGCAGCGGCTCCCTCCTGCGTGAGGGATCCAAGCCGAACCCACCCCCGGCCTCCGAGGCCTCGCCCAGCTCTGCTGCCCCGCAACCTCCTGCTTGCTGCCTGCCTTCCACCACGGCACTCTGGGTCCCGGCCTGCCGTTCCTTCCACGTGACCTTGGGCCCTGTCTGCTCATCTGTGCAGCGAGAAGTTTGCAGAGATGACGTTGGTTTTCTAGCTTCAGCAGCTGCGGTCCTACAGTTTGGCTCCGAGGCCCGACTGCAGCCCTTGGGTCCACGGGGAGACGAGGTGGCTGCCCCTGTGTCTCTATCTGTCTCAGAAACGGGGACGGGAGGGTGAGCTCCCATCCCACCGGATGTCGTGGGGAAAGAGCCCAGGCCGAGGCTGGGGAGGCTTCCGGGCTCGAGTGGTCTGCTGCTTCTGGGAGCCCTGGCAGCCGCAGGACTCAGGATGGAAGAGCTCGTAATTCATCCGGGGGTGCTGGGAGGCTTGAGAAGAGCCACCCCAAATTCTGCACAAGGGGAGCCACTGCCTTCATGGGAACGGTCCCCGCCTCGGAGGGAGCTGGGGGGCTGTTCCCTCCTCTGCTGCCCCCTCTCACCTCTCAGCAGTGACAGTGCCACTGCCTTACTATAGAAACGTACGAAAAGCCGTTCGATTTCTGGTTTGCTCTGAGCTGGGCGTCCCTTTCAGGGGCACAGCCCTTCCAGCCCAGGAGGAGGCCCCGGGAGGTGACCTCTGTCAGGGAAGCGGGCTCAGGCCACAGCCGGGCCGGGCGGGGCTCTGGGCGGTGCTCACCCGCGGCCTCTCTACCCCCGGCCCCCTCCTGGCTTTGCTGGCCTTCAGAACGGCTGCCAAAGAGAAGACGAGACCCCGGCAGAGGCTTCTCAGTCCAGGCCCTGCCGTCCAGACCCTCGTCAGCAGACAGCCCCCTCCCGGAGGGTGGACCCTGAAGGAAGGGCCGGGGGCCTCTGGACAGCACACAGGAAACTCAGCACCACCAGCCAGCTGGCCCTGGGAGGCGCTGGGGGCCGTGGCCAGGAGCGGGCGTTGTGGGCAGAGGGCGGGCCAGAGGGGCCAGTGGAGGGTCAGGAGAGAGAGAGGCTGCTCGAAATGAAAGGAGACACCCAGAGGGGATGGGAGGTAGTGGAAGGGGAGAGCCTGGGGGAAAGGCTGTTAGGACGCATTTACAGCCCCCCAGAAACACTACAAAACACCACGAGGGCCTCAGGGCCCCTGGGTTCCCTGGCAGCTGTGAACCCAGGAGGGGGACATGCGTGGAGACACCCCCCTCAGCGTGGATGCCTGGGGTTGTCCAGGAGCAGAGATGCCCAGCTGAGCACAGGGACGGCCCCGTCTGTGCATCTTACCTGGGGGTCCCACAGACGCGTGAGGTTTGGGTACAGGTAAAACTGAATTCCTTGGGCGGCCCCAGGCAGCGTCACCCCTCGAATCAACAGGACCACCAGCATGAGGTAAGGGAAGGTGGCTGTGAAGTACACCACCTGGCCAAGGGGCAGAGGAGAAGGTAAGGAACTGGGGCAGCCAGCAGCGGGGGGACGGGGAGGGGGCAGGCGGAGGAGCCGCCAAGCCCACGGCAGAGGTCACCCCTTCTGCGCCCTCCCGCTCCCCCCGCAGCTGCTCAGTCCTCAGCCTTCAGCCCTCCCCCCTCCCTCTGTCTCCCTGACACACACCCAGCAAATATCTGCTGAGTGACTGAGCGAACTTAGGCACGCTCCCAGCAAGAATCTTAGAACAGTGGCAAGGGTCGTCAGGGACAAGAAGCTCTGTCACACATGACCCCTGTCCCCACAGAGCTCACAAGCTTAGCACAACCGGGCAGCCAGCTTAGGAGGGAAGCCTGGTCAGAGGCCGCCAGGGCAGGAGTCCAGGAGAACTCGGGATGCCCTCATGCACTCCAGGGCAACGAGTCTCCCCAGGGTCTCGGGGTGGCTGACAGTCATGTTGAGATTAATAGTCATGACGGAATTGCTTTCCCAAAGAACAGCTGTATGAAACGGGGAGCCGTGAACCGTGTTCAGTTTGCGGTGTGCCCACACGCATGGTGCATTCCAAGATCAGATTCCTCCCCACGTGTCCCTCCTGCCTCTCTCTCTGTCCTCTCTCTCTCTCCCCTATTCCAGTTCCCCAAATACCAGAAGGACATACCACTGAATCCAGGAAAGGCACAGAATCAAGCGAGAGAGACATGTGAACTCCTCGTGGGGTCATTCCCTCCCATCCCCGACTAGGTACAACTTGGGGAACCCCTGGGTGGCTGAGCCCCCGGGGGAGCAGGGTGGCCCAGGGAAGGGAGGGGCCTGGGGCCCTCGAACACAGACCTTGCCCGTGGACTTGACGCCCTTCCAGATGCAGAAGTAGCAGATGACCCAGGCAAGCAGCAGGCACAGGGCCAGCTCCCAGCGCAGGGCCCCCAGGTGCTGGATGCCGTCCGAGATCTTCAGGACCCGCCTCCTGGGGAGAGAAGGGTGAGCGACTGCACCTGTGCCGCCGGCCTCAGCTTGGGCAGCGGAGCCGGGCCTCCGGCTCTGGTCCGAAGGCTTGTCGGCTCCTTTACCCTGATCCATGAGGCTCTGCTTAGCCCAGAGATGGGAGTAGACAGAGAGGAGGCAAAGACAAACTGTTCCCAGGCGGGTTTGCTCTGGCAGGCTGAGGACCAGTTTAACCCGGAGAAGGGGGTGCGAACACGTATTTTCTCAACCGGAGGGTTAGGATGCTTTGATGTGAGGAACCATGTCTTCGGTGAACGCCAATATTTCGGGGAGGGGCAGTAGAAGCAACACACATGCAGCCGCAGGGGAGGGCGGACCCACATGGCGGGCGGGGTGGGGGTGGGGGTGGGGGGAGCGGGGAGCGACGCAGGCCCAGCGCCAGGAGAGCCTCGGGAAGAGTCCTGCCCTAACCACAAATACAGGCACGGTGGGAAAAAGCCACTCGGGTGACGGCGCCACCAAAGGAGGAGGCAGAAACTCGTCCCCTGCAGCCCGTGGGGTCCCCAGCCCCGCGCCCGTCTATGGGACACGCCGCCCACACTGCGATGGCGCAGGGGCCTCACTTACTCCCAGAACTCGATGACGGGAGAGGTGGCGTTCTCAGAGCTCACGTTCACGGAGCTGCTGGCCCTCTGGAACTCCACGCAGTGCTCTGCCGGGGGTCCAGGGCGGGGCGGGGAGCGAGAGAAACATCACTGGCCAGTATGTAACATGAGCAGAGAGTGGGGCGAAATTTCAGGAGACTGGGAAGCACGGTATCTGGGCTGAAGGTGCCTAAACAAAACAGCCTCATAATAAAACACAAAACGAAACACATAATGACCTCAGCAAAGCCACTGCACCCTCTCCCACTTCTCCGGGGTGGAGCCGGGGCGGGGGTGGGTGGGTGTAGCACATTCTCATTAAAGCACCATCAGGCGGCCTCAGGAAAGATGCTTTGCACGCCATCAGCTTCAAACATACGAACATTTCTGGGCCACTGTCCTGTAGAGAGTGGCCTTTGAGGAACAATAAGGATGCCTTCTGGGGAAGTGATGTAGCTGAGGGCTAAGAGCACAGGTACAGATCAGAAGACTCTGGCTTGAATCCCTGCCTCCCTCCGGTTATTCGCTGTGTGGCTTTCTAACTCACTTCCGTGGTCTCTAAATGTACACGAGGGGACTTCCCTGGTGGCGCAGTGATTGGGAATCTGCCTGCCAATGCAGGGGACGTGGGTGCGATCCCCGGTCTGGGAAGATCCCACATGCCGTGGAGCAACGAAGCCCGTGTGCCACAACTAATGAGCCTGTGCTCTAGAGCCCGCGAGCCACAACTACTGAGCCCATGCACCTAGAGCCTGTGCTCTGCAACAAGAGAAGCCACTGCAATGAGAAGCCCGAGCACCGAAACGACAACCCAACATAGCCAAAAATAAATAAATAAATAAATTTAAATAAATAAATGTACATGAGAAGATCCCAGTGTAGGACTGATAAGCGGAGACTGCCCGGCACTCCATAAATAGTGGCTTTTAATTACCCGTCTACGACTATGGACTTTTCACAAAGTGTTCACACTCTTCTTTACGTTTTATTAGGACAGTAATCCTGGGAAATATCAATAAAGACAGAGAGCGTTTCCCCACTGTGCACACACGAAAGCTGATCTTCTTAGAAATGGCCCGGCATCGCTTGTCTGTGATGACGTGAAGGCTGGGATCCAGCTCAGCAAATTGTGTATGTTCCACCTTCAGAAAATCTGGGATCTGACTCTTCCCGTTACAGGTATGAGCACCAGTCTGGTGCAGGTCACCACGGCTCCCGGCTCCCTGATGGGCCCAGTTTCTGCTCTTGCCTCCAGAGTCAAATCTCCAGAGAGCAGCCAGGGAGGCTTTGCTCAAACTTCAGTCATGGCATGGCTCTGTCATGTCCCAGTTCAGAAACCTCCAAAGGTTTCCCATCACGCTCAGAGAAAGAAGCCCAAACCTCATCATCGCCTCCAAGGCCCCATTCCATCCACCCCTCTCCTACTGCCCCGCCCCCACTCACCTGCTCCGGCCACACCTGCCCTGCTGCCCCCTGGATGCCACCCCACTTCTGCACTGCTGCTTCTCCTACCTAGTGTCTGCCTCCACATGCCCTCCTCCTTCAGAGCATGACCCAGCGTCACCTTCTTAGAGATGCCTTCCCCGATGACCCTATTTAAAATCACACCCCACCCCTAAGATTCCCAGTCTCTCCTCCCCGTTTAGTTTTCTGCACAGCAGTGCCTCTAGCATGCCACATGGGATGCACTGATTTTGTTTCTGGTCTGTCTTCTGCCGCTAGAATGAAAGCCACGAGGGTAGGAGCTCTGTTTCTGCACCTTGCATGTCCCCGGTACTTGGAACAGAGCCTGGGGTAGAGCCAGGGCTCCACACACATCTGCCGAACCACGGGATATTAGCGGAGCCCCCTCTCCTCCAAACCAAGTCACTTTCCTTGAAGCCTCAGCACACCCAAAAGGGCTGTTCCTTCTGGACAGGATGGGATGTCCTGTGCTACTCAAGACGCTAGGCTCCAAGGACTCCAGACTCACCAGGAGAAATGCCCAAAATGTCATGGAGCCAAAGCCCTGGTACTGAGTTTGCCTCAGAGATGCTCCCCCTGCCAAGTCAGCCAGAAGCACACAGGCCTGATGATGGCCTGAGGCCAAGCCCCTGGGCACCAGAAAGGCAGAAACTTTCTACAAGAGGAACTGCGCTGAGACCTGGATAAAATCCCCATGTGAGAAGCTGGCAGGGCGGATTGTAGTGCAGAGAGAGAGAGAGAGAGAGAGAGAGACGAGGGAGGGAGGGAAGCAGGAAGGAAGGCAGGAAGGAAAGAAGGGGGAAGGGAGAAAAAACACATAATAAAGAAAATATTAGAATAAAACAGATTTTAAAAACTTGATTCATTCCATGAATATTTTTTGAGAGCTCATGATGCTAAGTGCAAAAGGTGTAGAGATGAAGACACCATTTTTGCCCTCAAGATCTTGCAACAAACAGAGGAAAAGCGGGGTGAGCGCTACAGTCAAGGGCCGGGGCCAGTGTAGGCGCTGGCAGACACACTAGAGAAGAACCTAGCAGATCTTGGGGTGTCCGGGGCGGTACCTCCAAGATTTGACTTTTCACTTGACAAGTAGTGGGACAAAGTGGTGACAAGGGAATGAAAGCCTGGAGAGACAGCATAAAATATGAGGGCGAGGGGGCCTTGAACGCCAGGATAAACGTGCAAAACCACTTCCCTGGCAAGTGAGTAAAAGATTCATACTCTAGCTCAGAACTGAGTAACTTATCTGAACAAGAAAAAGTTCATCACGGCACAGGTAGGGCCTCACTGACAGGCACGAGAGGTGTTTGGACATTGGGAGCAGGACAGTGTCCACCTGCGCGGGCCAACAGGGCAGTGACCAGCCCCGTGTGGCTATTTACATTAAATTAACTTAAATTAAATAAAAACTTTAAAATTCAGGTCCTCACACGCACTAGCCATGTTTCAAGTACTCGATAGCTACCGCATCAGAGAGTAGTACAAAGCACATTTCATCACCACAGATAGTTCTTTTGGAAAGCACTACCCTAGAAATTTTTAATTTGTATTTTTAATTGAATATTTTCTTTCAATTCATTAGACTTAGTAGTTCTATCGCCATAGAGGCTCTTGTCTTAAAAGAAAATCACGGGAGAAAATTAATTGCTATGGTAAATTATATTGATGTCATACAAAACAGCTTATCCCTGGTTAAATCCACATGACTTGGGAGTTGGAAAGGCCTAAAATAGTATCAGAAAGAAGACATGAAGAATAAATAAATGAGAAAACCATATATCCATATATCAAACTAACCACGTTTCAAATCAAAACCCATAAAGGGCTAAACTGCACAAAAAGAAGTCAGTTCTATCTTCATAATAACATTGCTTCAACACATGAATTTTTTGAAAAAGTCTGTGATCTTTTTCCTGTGATGCTGGTGGACTCTCGCTCTTATCTTTGACATTAGACCTCTGTCACCTCCTTGGCAGATTTCTAGCATGTCCCAGCTGAAGGATGGGGCCTGGGGACCAGGATATGGGGACAATCCCTCTCCTGGTCACCGCAGCAGAGCAGGTGGAGGTGACCTCACCTGTGTTCCAGTCGTGGCGGCAGCTCCCCCAGGGCAGGTCGATGGTGAAGCTGCTGAAGAGGTAGAAGAGGGCCCAGGCCAGGACGATGATGTAGTAGATGTTGAGGAGGATGACAATGGTCTGGGAGGCATAGCCGATACCTGGGCGGAGGCACACGGGGCTGGGGACACGGGGCAGGTTTCTGGCTCCGCCCACCCCTGCTCAGGAGAGGGTCTGTGCTCCCCTGTGAGTGTCCTGAGACACGGGGTATGGGGTCTGGGCTCCTGGCTCGCTGCCCCCTCCCGTCGTGCAGCACCCCCAGGCCAGGCCGGGCTTCCTCCCGTCTCCTGCTGCCCTGCCCCGCTGCCTGTACACTCTCATCTGTATGCTGCAAGTTCACTGATTCTAAGCTATCTTACAAATGTACAAGGCTAACTCCGAGATTCCAATAGCTAATGTTCCCTGGCATTCGTCTGATATATTTCTGAAATGTAAAAACACGCGTTAAGGGACTTCCCTGGTGGCGCAGTGGTTAAGAATCCGCCTGCCAACGCAGGGGACACGGGTGTGAGCCCTGGTCCGGGAAGATCCCACATGCTGTGGAGCAACTAAGCCCATGCGCCACGACTACTGAGCCTGCGCTCTAGAGCCCGCAAACTACAACTGAGCCCGCGAACCACAACTACCGAAGCCCACGCGCCTAGAGCCCGTGCTCCACAACAAGAGAAGCCACTGCAATGAGAAGCCCGTGCACCGCAACGAGGAGTAGTCCCCACTCGCTGCAACTAGAGAAAGCCCACACGCAGCAACGGAGACCCAATGCAACCAAAAAATAAAACTAAAAAAAACAACACGCGTTAAAAGCAGGAAGAGACAGTTCACAGAGGAGCACACACACACAGGCAATGAACATCCTCACAGCACACTCATCCTCCCTAATAATCGTAGGTGTGCAAAATGAAAAATGATGAGCTACCATTCTGCACCTGCAACACTAGTGAACATGTTTACAAACGATATAACTCAGTGATTTCCAAACTTGTCCACATAGTAGTAGAATTAATTACCTGGGAATATTTTAAAAATTCCAAAGCCCAGACCAGACCCCAGACCAGTTTAATAACAATCTCTGGGGGTGGGGTACAGGCCTCAGGATGTTTGGAAGGTCCTGGGGTGATTCCAGTGTGCAGACAAGTTTGGGAGCCAGGGATATAACTCAGAGCTGTTAAAGATACGGAGGAAAGACGCTTACTCAAGTCCGGTGATGTGTACGTCAGCATAACACTTCCATAGAACAACTTAATAAGCATGGTCAAGGGACATCAACTTGGTTGTCCATTTGATCCAGTGATCCTAATCCTGAGAATTTATCCCAAGGAAATAACTCCAAAAAAGGGGGGTAAAGGCTACCTCTACGAAGATACATGACAGCAGAACATCAATTTATCAGTGACTGAAAATAAGCAGAAAGCCCAGAACAGAGAATTGTTAAGCAAATTATGATATATCCCCTTGATGGAAGTTTATGCAATCACATGATTGTTGTGTAAAAAATGGAAAATAACACTGACTAAAAAACAGAGGGACTTCCCTGGCTGTCCAGTGATTAAGACTCTGCGCTCCCAGTGCTGGGGAGGGTTCAATCCCTGGTCGGGGAACTAAGATCCCACTTGCCACACAGCGTGGCCAAAAAAACCACAAAAACGACAGAAACTGTGTATATTTCATATTAATAGATATGTAAACTTTATATAGAGAGAAAGAAATAATGAAGCAAATCTCTCCAAACTGGAAACAACCCAAATGTTCTTCAGTGGGTGAATGGTTAAATAAACCATAGGACAGCCATCGACACCATGGAATACTGCTCAGTAATGAAAAGGAATGAGCTACTGATACAAGAGCAAGCTGGGTGGATCTCGAGGGCATCATGCCAAGTGAAAAGGCCAGTCTCAAAAGGTCACACACTGTATGATTCCATTTATGTAACATTCCCCAAATGACAAAATTATAGAGATAGAGAGCAAGTTAGTGGCTGTCAGAGGTTATAGGGGTGGGGAGGGGAAGGGTTAGTGTGACTATGAAGGGGCAGCAGGATGGAGATCTCCGTGGTCATGGAACAGCGGTGGTGTTTGCACGAATCAATACAAGTGATAGAATTACACAGAATTACACACACACACATACACACACACACACACACACACACACACACACACAGCAAGTGCATGGAAATGGGTGCGATCTGAGTAAGGTCTGCGGATTGTACCAATGTCCATTCCCAGGTTTTGATATTGTTCTATATAAGATTTTTACCATTGAGGAAAATGAAAATGTCACTGGGTGAAATGTACACGTGACCTCTCTGGGCTACTTTTGCAACTTTCTGTGAACATATAATTGTTTCAAAATGGAATCTTAAAGAAAATCCTATATAGAGAGAAATGTTGAAATAAAACATCCTAAGTTTTAAATAGCTATTGGGTCAAGATGGTAGAATTAAAAAAATTTTTTTAACATCTTTATTGGAGTATAATTGCTTGACAATGGTGTGTTAGTTTCTGCTGTATAACAAGTTAAATCAGCTATACGTATACACATATCCCCATATCTCCACTCTCTTGCGTCTCCCTCCCACCCTCCCTACCCCACCCCTCTAGGTGGTCACAGAGCACCGAGCTGACCTCCCCGTGCTGTGCAAACATTTTATCTATTTATTTATTTATTTGGCCACGCCACGCAGCTTGTGGGATCTTAGTTCCTCCACCAGGGATTGAACCTGGGCCCCTGACAGCGAAAGCACAGAGTCCTAACCAGTGGACCGCCAGAGAATTCCAAAGATGGTAGAATTATTATTTTTTTCTCATTAAAATTCTCTTTTTAGGGAATTCCCTGGCAGTAATTCAGTCTTGGGCCCACGGTGGAAGGTTTAACATAAAGACACAGAGTCTTATCTGTATCAGCACTGCTGATACACCACCCAGTTATTCCAAACAAGGTTTATAACCACTAGTGCAGAGACTGTGGAGTCGGGCGCAGAGCTACTCACCCTCAAAGATGGGGCAGATCTTCCTCCAGGCTGTGATGCCCCCCTGGCTGGTGTACTGGCCTAGTGCTGTCTCCAGGAGAAAGACAGGAATGCCACAGGTAAAGAGGAAGATGAGGTAGGGGATGAAAAAGGCACCTGCGGGTGGGAAACAGGCTGTCCATTACGTGGCACTAGCCTCCTTGTGGTCCACGGTCATCTCCCCCCATTACCACCCCATGCTTCCAGTCAGAATCCCGGGGATGGGGACTGCGCAAAATGGCGGGGACATCTGTCTAGATGTCTGGAACCACGGCAGAGATCCGGTGTCACCAAGTTACTTAGGACCTAGCCAGTCACTTCCTTCACTCTGAAGTTTCCATCTATACCTTCCAAGGTTTGCTCCCCATCAACTTCAGTTGCTGCCCAAATAACACATCGCTTGTGGTCATAGAAGAAGCTCACTCAGTCACAGATATCCAGGAGCATTCCCACAGCCCACAGTCTATAATTTTTGTCAAGGAAATGATTGCTCTCAATGTTAGAGAGGGGCTTTTAGCAGACTGAAATCAGATTTCCCTTAGTAATCCTCTCTGCTTCTGTTTTCACAGGCACTGCCTGAGACAAGTCTACTGATGCCAGAAATGCTGGCATTTGCTCCACCATAGACCTCTATCTGCTGGCAACTGGGCAGGGGAGTTCACAGGAGAGAGTCCCAGGGGGAGAGACGTGCACAGAGAGACCCAAGTGCCTGCAGAGGGTCCCCTACGAGCTTGAGTGCTGGTCAGCACATGCGTGTGAGGACGCTACCCAAGGAGAGGAAAGAATCCCTCAAGAAGATAGAGCCTGGTGGTACTCACGCAAGGCTGGGGACCTTCCAAAGACTTAAGGAAGAAATGACACCAATTCTATACAAACCCTTGCAGAAAATTTAGAAGCAATTCTTTCCAACTCATTCTACGAAGCTAGCATTACTCTGATAACAAAAGTAGATAAAGACAAGAAAAGAAAACTATAGATCCAACTTTCATGAACATAGATGCAAAATTCTAAACAAAATTTTAGATATCCAACAATATATATAAAAAAAGTAATACATAGTGGAGTTTATCCCTGGAATACAAAGTTGTTTTAACATTCAAAAAAAAATCAGTGGATCATATTAATAAATTTAAAAAGAAAAACCATATAATCATTTCAATAAATGCAGAAAAGTATTTGACCAAATCTAACAGCCATTTCTGATTAAAAAAAAAAAAAAACTCTCAGCAAGTGATGAATAGAAGGGAATAAAGGGCATCTACAAAACACCTACAGATAACATCATACTTAATGGTGAAAGACTGCTTAACCCCTAAGGTCGAGAGTAAGACAAGCGTGTCCAGTCTTACTATTTACCACTTCTATTCAACATTGGTTCCATCAATATTGATTCTAGTCAAGGCAAGAAGGCAATAAAAGGAATTAAAAGTTATTCAAAAAAAAGTTATTCAGATTAGAAAAGAAGAAATAAAACTGCTTTACTTGCAAATGACATGATTGCCTATGTAGAAAATCCGTTGGAATTTAAAATAGTCAAACTCATAGAATCAGAAAGTAGAATGGTGATTACCAGGGTCTGAGGAAGGGGGAAACAGGGTGATGCTGGCCAAAGGGTATAAAGTTTCAGTTTTGCAAAATGAATGAATCCTAGATATCCACTTTAACCATAGTGCCCACAGTGAACGATATTGAATTGTTTTCTTAAAATTGTGCTAAGAAGGTAAATCTTATGTTGTGTTCTTATCACACACAAAAAATTAAAATGAAAAAAAGAGGACAGAAGGAAACTTTTGGACGTGATGGATATGTTTATGACATTGATTGTGGTGATGGTTTCACAAGTATATGTTTACCTCCAAACTCATCAAGTGGTATACATTAAATGTGTACAGCTTTTTGTACATTAGTCATACCTCAATAAAGTGTATTTAAAAAGAAAAGAAAGAAAATCCTTCGGAATGTACCAAAGAGCTGCTAGAATAAATAAGTTAATTTAGTGAGGTTACAAGATATAAGATCAGCATAAAAAATCAATTGCATTTCTTCTACTAGCACAAGCAATTATAAATTACAACTTAACAAATAATACCATTATAACAGCATCAAAGAGATGAACTATTTAGGAATAAATTTGACAAAAGATGTGTACACTCATAACTGCAAAACATTGCTGAGAGGAATTAAAGAAGACCTAAATAAATGGTGAGGCATACCATGTTCATGGGTCAGAAGACTCAATATTATTAAGATGTCAGTTCTTCCCAAATTAATCAATAGATTCACTGTAATCCCAGTCAAAATCCCAGCAGACTTTTTTGTAGAAACTGACAAACGGATTCTAAAGTTCATATGAAAATGCAAAGAACCTAAAATAGCCAAACAACTTTGAAAAAGAAGAACTAAGTTTTAGGCTTACCTCTCCCTTATTTTCATATTATTATAAAGATACAGTAATTAAAACAGTGTGGTTTTGGTGTCAAAATAAACAAATAGATCGACAGAACAGAATAGAGTCCAGCAACAGGGCCATGCACATTTGGACAATTGATTTTTGACAAAGGTGTAAAGGCAATTCATTGGAGAAAGGACAGTCTTTTTAATAAATGATGCTAGAACAAGTAGATATACATACACACAAAAAATGAATTTCAATCCATACCTTCATTTTATACAAATATTAACCCAAAATGGATGGTAGACCTAAGTGTGAAACCTAAAACTATAAAACTTCTAGAAGAAAATATATGAGACCTTGGGTTAAGCAAAGATTTCTTTCATGTGACATCAAAAACATGAGTCATAAAAGAATAAATTCATAAACTGCACTTCATCAGAATTTGAAACTTCTGCTTTTCAAAAGACATTGTTAAGCAAAGGAAAAATATAAGACAGAATGAGAAAAAAAATTGCAAAATGCATATCTGATAAAGGACTTGTATCCAGAATATATAAAGAAGTAGCAAAATTCAATAGTAAGAAAACAAACGACCTATTTTTTTTTTTTTTTTTTTTTTTTTGCGGTACGCAGGCCTCTCACTCTTATGGCCTCTCCCGCTGCGGAGCACAGGCTCCGGACGCGCAGGCCCAGCGGCCATGGCTCACGGGCCCAGCCGCTCCACGGCATGTGGGATCTTCCCGGACCGGGGCACAAACCCGTGTCCCCTGCAACGGCAGGCGGACTCTCAACCACTGCGCCACCGGGGAAGCCCTATTTTTTTTAATGGTCAAAAGATTTGAACAGGTTTTCACCAAAAAAGATATGTGGGCTACAAATAAGCACATGAAATGATGTTCAACATCATTAGTCAATATAAATTTAAGTGACAATGAGGTAATGTTCACACCAATTAGAAAAGTTAAAATTAAAAAGACAGACCAAGTATCAGTAAAGTTGTGGAAAAGCTGGCACTCAGATACGCTGCTGGCAGGAAGGTAAAAATGGTACAACCATGTTGGAAAAGTGTTCCGCAGTTTCTTAAAAAGTTAAAGGTGCCCCTATCATATAATCCCGCCATTCCACACTTCGGTGTTCCCTCAAAGGAGATGAAAGCACATGTTTATACAAAGGTTTGTACACAAAAGTTCTTAGCAGTTTCATCTGTAATAGCTAAAGCCTGGAAACAACCCAAATGTCCATCAACAGGCGAAGAGATAAATTGTAGTATATCCATATAATGGAATACTACCCAGTAATAACAAGAAGGGAACTACTGAGACATGAAAAAGATGGATGAATCTCAAAGTAATTATGCTGAGGGATAGAAGCCAAGTAAAGTATATACTGCATGATTCCATTTACAGAAAATTATAAGAAATGCAAACTACTATATAGTTTGGAAACAACCTGGAAAACTAGGCCTGGAAACGACCTAAGTGTCCCTCAACAGATGCATGGATAAAGAAAATGCTATATGTGTAATGGAATATTATCCGGCCATAAAAAAAGAAGAAATTCTGCGTGTTGCAGCCACATGGATGGACCTCGAGGGTATTATGCTAAGTGAAATAAGTCACAGAGAGAAAGTACATACTGCACGTCCTCTCCTATGTGTGGAATTCATAGAGGCAGAGAGCAGAATGGTGATTACCAGAGGCTGGGGGTGTGAGGAATGCGGACATGTTGGTCAAACTTCGTTATAAGATAAACAATTTCTGGGGATGTAACATACAGCATGGTGGTTGCAGTGAACTATACTGTCTTATATAGTTGAAAGTTCTTAAGAGAGTAGATCTTAAGTGTTATTACCACCAAAAAAAAAGGTAATTATATGAAGGAATGAAGGTGTTAACTAACCTTACTGTGGTAATCATTTTGCAATACATACATGTATTAAATCATCATGTTCTACACCTAAACTTACTATCCATAACATATCAATAAAGCTGGAAAATAGTTATATTTTTAAAAAACAAAACAGGTTTTTGGTTGCATTGGGATGGGGTAGCAGAGGTCAGGGGTGGGAGAGAGGGAAGGAGGAAATTTGGGGGAGTGATGGATACCTTCATTATCTTGATAGTGGTGATGGTTTCAAGGGCGTGTACCTATGTCGAAACTCACCCAACTGTACACTTCAAATGTGTGCAAGTTGTTGTAAGCCAATTATACCGTCATAAAATTGCTAAAACAAAAGTTAGTGGGGAATAGGCTTCTCCAGCTCTTTGCCTCTAGTCCACGCATCCGTAATTCAGGCACTAAGGAAACGCTTGGTGACCACAAGGGCAAAGAAAGATCGTAAACAATTCAGGCACGTGAGTAGATAAATCAGCCCAAGGCTTGCTGGGCAGGAAGGGGAAATTAGGGAAGAGAGAACCCAGTGGCTGATATGAACAGTACTGCTGGGAGCTGGAAACATCGCAGAGAGAGAGAGAGAAGACAGGGGGCAGGGGGGAGAGTTTTCAGCCTGGCTCAAGTCCCTCATCCCCATCTTTGTGCCACCTGCTCTTCCCTAGTGAACCGAGCCAATGTTTAACCGCACTGGGTCCGGTGGTCAGTCTGCGCCCCTCCCCCTCTGCCTCCTTGAGCTCCTGGGCAGCTGGCCAGAGGGGACAAGGTCCACACCTGCCAGGCCGAGTCACTGGCCCCAAACCGGGGAGGGAGTTAGGGAAGAGATAGAGCCCAGGAGGGACGCGGGTGCCCACCAGGCAGTCCTGGGGCACTGCCTCTTTCCCCACCCAAGCCCCAGTCACCACCACTCAAAGATGGAGCCACTCCTGGAGACGGAGGATGGAGTCAGTTATCTGCTCCCCAAATCCCCCGTTTAGTCTCCTTGCCCAAATTCTAAAATGTCCTGGCATTTTTCCCCATGGGATGGGAGAGACCACATGCCCATCCTGGAAAGGAATCATTCTGCTGGACACCCTTTTCAATAGGAACACATTCTGTGGCGTCACCTGTAAGGCTCCAGGTGACATGTTTTTAGGACAAACTGACGATATGCCACATGAGCAGCACAGCAGTGAACGTGCATGACTATTACATGCTGAAATCAACACTGCTGGACCAATACTTGGCATTGCTTCATTAACTAAAAGTGGTGACCAGTTGTCACGTACTCATAAAATAACCGTGACTCTTACATGAAGAAAAACGCTCCTTGTTTCTCTTCGTTCTTTAGTATATCTACGGACAACCTCAGGGCAAACGGGGGCCATCTAATGCCCTTGACATTGGTGTCCCCATGCTCCCTCTCCCTGACATCCAGAGGTGGGCTTTACTTGGCTATGGCCCTTCCCTCTAAGATCCCAGCTTTGAGAGGTCCAGCTGTGGTACATTCTGCGGTAGCCTCACGTGGGTCTCCAGCCCCAGGCAGCCTGGGTGTCGGGCAACTCAGTCTGCCGGTAGCCGGGGTCCAGGGAGCTGGAGGGCTTCCGGCTGAAGGCCCAGGTTCCGAAGCAGCCAGGCTTTAGGTATTTGGGCAGAGCCACCAGTTATGTGAGAAAGAAGGACATCAAGGAGACTCCAAGCTTCTTAGCCTTGTAACCAGTCTGCTTCCCCCCTTAGTCCCCTGCAATCAGTTCTCAACACAGTAGCCAGACAGTGTACAAGTGTAAGATTGGCCCCTCTGCTCAAACCCCTGGCCCGCCTCCCCATCACTGGAGGGAAAGCCAGAGTCTCACAGTGGCTGACAAGCCCTGGGTGACCTGCCCCCCCAAAGTGACTCCCCTCCAGTGGCTCCCCAAACACGCCAGCCAACCTCCTGCTTTAGGGCCATTAACACCTGTTTCCTCTGCCTGGAGCACTTTCTCCCTAATATCCACGTGGCCGGCTCTCACTCACTGGCAAGACTTCACTCTAACGTTCTCGGTGTGGTGGCCCGCAGCCCCCCTCCTGTAGCACTCAGGAACTTCTGATATGCTACGGAATTTTCTTGTTTACTGTGTTTATTGTTTATTGTCTGTCTCTCACAGACAGACAAGGAGTGTAAGCCCCACAAGGACAGGGAAGGGGTCTGTTCTGTTCATAGATTATCACAACAACTCGGAATAATTCCTGGCAGGTGGTGGGTCCACGGTAAGTCACTGTCGTTGGGTGACACAGTCCGGGCTTGGTTGGCCTGACTGTCGAAAGCCATGGGGAGGGGGGCGGGCAGGTGCTCGGGGTAGACTGGCCACAAGGCCTGGACGGCAGGGAGGGCGCTTATCTAGGAGGTGGCTGAGGCGGGCGCCCCCTGCCCCCGTCTCCTGATGGATTTTAGACAGGCTTCTTGGTACCCCTTTCTCAGCATCTCTGGTTTTCGACTACAGTGTTTCACCGTTTCCCTGTTCCTCTATCATATGCTTGCCTCAGCCTTTTCCCTGCTCTGGGACTCACTTCTATTAGGATCTACCAAATGTTAAAGCTGGAAGGAACCGCAGAAGATATCACTTATATTTTTAGATTGGAACCGAAATTACGCTTTGGGGACGTTTTCCTCCCTGACTTCCCCACCAAACAAACATTAACGATAATAAAGTCCCGAGTTTATCCCCCCAGCCAAGCACAAAAGTGGCTACTTACAGCTATGAAGTACAAGAAAGGGCCCAGAAAAAAGCAGGCTGATGACACCCGTGACCCCAGCACCCTCCTGCAGAAGCTGCTCAGAACGTCCCTCTCGCCCCCAGGAGTCCAAGCCCCAATCTGAGAACCACGGGTTTAAATAAAATCACTAAAGCAGGAGGATGGGGTCAAACCAACCTAGACGGTCTCCGTCCTCCCCACCCCCTTCCCCATGTCGGCAGTGAAGGGTCCTGTCACAAGGACCCTGTCACAAGGAGGCCTCTGTCCCCTCTCGACAAGAGACGAGAAGGTGACGAGATGAAGTGTGGGACCCGTGCTCTGGGGGGAGGGGACGAGGGGGTAAAGGGGACAGAAAGGTTAAGCCTCTGGGAACACCAAAACCCGGAAAAGCGGGCCTGTCTGGGCCCCTCTACAGGCCACACGGGTCCCGGGTTTGTCCCCTTCACACTGGCAGGGGCGCCTCCCGCGTGTCCACCCGGTGGCCCTGGCTGACTCATGCCCTTCAGAGCAAACCCGGGCATCGGCCTCGGGCCCGGCCCTAGAGCCCCTCCGAGCACTTCCTCCAGCTGCTGTTGTCCATCAAGGAGAGAGAAGAGGAAGCCCGAGGCCTTGTGCCCTATCGGGGAAGAGACCGGGGTGGTGGCCTAAGGATTCCGCGGACCGTTCCGTGAGCCCCGAAACGGCTCGTGGGGACCGGCGTGCTGGAGGGCAGGCTCTTCCCGGCACGAGGTGGCCACCCTCCTGCCTCTGCTCCCCCCGAAGCACCCACGTGAGGAACCAGGGGCCGTGGACACGCTTGCTCCCGGCCTGCCTTTCCCCCGAGACACGGCCACACCTCCCTGGGCCGCACAAGCCTACACAGAGCCCCGGGGCGGAGCTCAGACGTAGGCCTCCCCTCGACAGGATGACCCCGTGTGCCCTGCCCAGGCCCTGCTCCCCTCTTCTTTCCCTGCTCAGCCCAGTGGTTGGCACCAAGCCTGGGACCCCTCTCCCACCTCTTCGTGCCACTCCTGCTAATTCCCCAGCCACCCTCACCCAATTCCTGAGAGGCTTGGGGAAAGCGGCTCACCTCCCGACCTTCCTGCCGCGTGAGGAGCTAAGCTGGTTACCGGGTTCCAGACACGGAGCCCCAAGGCCCGGCTTAGCCCCCAGACTCCTTCTCCTCCCTGAACGACAAGCCCCATCCCTCCGCCCTCGGGCCTAAATGTCTGAACAAGCCGGCGGAGGGTCCAGGGCTGGGTCGGGACCTCCCTCCTTCCCTCGCAATGTCAGCCGAGCAAAGTCCTGCGGCTTCAGGCTGCCGGCCAGGAAGTCTTGTGGAGAGGGAACACATCAGCCCATTCCCACCCCTCTGGAAAAATACAAGTTAGCCTCCAACCCCACGGCCAATCCCCGCTTGCCACAATCCTGAAAGTAAGACTATGGGCTCAGAGCATCTGTGTGTCACCCCCTTCCCATGCTCCCTCTTCCACCCCGCATCGTGGGCTTTATCTCCCCCAAACCACTGAGACTGGGCTCACACACGGAGGCCCCCACACCCCACAAAGGGGTAGGTGTGGCATTAGGGTTCCCTCCAGGCCTCGTGGCCCACAGAACTCCCACCCCCTCGGCCTGTCCCCGTGACCCACCTTGGCGTTTCCCCTCCTCTAGCGCAGGCTGCAGCCTCCCATAAAACCAGCCCTGGGAGCCCAGCCCCGCTAAGCTCTACCCACCAACGAGGGGACCTTCCGAGCCCACTGCTCGGCCAGAGCACTTCAGCACCTGGGAAATCCCTCTGGGGCTCCCCAGAGGCCCAGGAGTGCCTGAAGGAGAGTCCCCGGTGGGAAAGTGACCAGCAACAGGGGCAGCGGAGTGGCTGCAGCGCCTGGAATGGCGGAGAATGAGAGGCAGGAGAGACGCAGGAAAGAGTTAGAGTTCATGCTCCCCCCACACACATTTCAGTGGGAAAATCTTAAAGGAAGAGCCACTGGTATCAAAGGTGACACATGGGGGGACACATGTCACAGAGCAGGAGGAGGACAGGAAGTCACGGCTATGGAGTCTCGAGACCTCATGGGACAGTTGGGTGCCGACATCCTCTTCAGCATAGCTACCGTTCGTTAGGCCCTTTGCACACGTGACCTCTACGCGTTACAACAGCCTTGAAGGGCAGGTAGAACTATCTCCGTTGACAGCATTTACCTGAGCTCCCAAGGTAAGGCTTGCCTGAGATTACAGGGTGTAAGTAGCAGAGGCAGAACCCAAACTCCCACCCATCTGGTTCCCAGCCTATACCCATGTTTCTCTGAAGCCACAGTAGGGACCCCCCAGGAAGTCGCCCCTCTGTCAAGGTGTCTCTCCTGCAGTGCCCTGAGGGTCTTTCCAACTCCAGTATCCTCTGCGTCCATGGGACTCCCCAGAGGGCAGTAAGTGCGTGAGATGGAGACAGCCTTGGGATGGGGGGGGCGAGGGTGACGCAGTGGGTCTCACCTCCCCCGTTTTTGTAGCAGAGGTAGGGAAACCTCCAGACGTTGCCCAGCCCGATGATCTCCCCGGCCACGGACAGCACGAACTCCATCTTGTTGTTCCAGTGCCCCCGCTGCAGGCCGCCAGCCTCCTCCGCCTTTTCCATGCCTGGGCACACTGGTTTTGTCTCTCCATTACTGGTTGTGCTCGAGACCCTGCTATCCATTCCACCTGGAAAACAAGCAGGGCGCTCCGTTACTGCTGGGAAGCCTGGAAGGAAAGCTGCCCCCTTCCTTCGCCAGGAACTTCCCGAGGGAATAGAGCCCTGGAAGAGATGAATCCTACTCCTGTCCGCAGATCCACGTCCTCCTTAGCATCTCTTGCTGGTAAAGGCTGGGTAACAGCTGCTGAGAGTATATATCCCTTTCATGTGTCAGGAAGAAAGTGCTGATCCTGAGCCACAGACACTGCTCCCCTAGAAGGTTCCTTGGGTGGGGCTTGTGGACATGGGGTGTTCATGTGCCCCAGGTTGTCGGAGTTCTCCCTTCCACCCTACAGCCAGCTTCATCTGCATTAGCATGTGCCTCAGTTTCTCCATTCCATGTATGGGGACAGTCACAAGGATAGGAGTTGAATGTATCCTCAAAGTCACCAATTTCCCTTTTGGGAATTTACCCTAAAGAAATAATTGCGATGGTTGGTAAAGATTCAGCACTGAGGAAGTTCACTGTTTATAACAGCCAAATATTGGAAAGTATATAAATGTTCAGAAAGGGTAAATAGGTTAATAAATTAAGGCACGTACGATGGACTACTATAGAATCATGAAAAAACGTGTTACAGAAGAAAGTGTAGTGAAATGAAAAGTTGTTCACAATGTGTGAAGTGAAAAGTTAGGAAATAGCACACGTGGCATGATTTTGCTGGGAAAATACCTTATAAAGCATTTGTATGCATGAAGATTAGGATATCCACCAGTGGATGGGCTATAGGCATGTTTTCCTTATCTATATTTTCTACATTTTCATCGAAGAACATGTTTTATTTTGTAATAGGAAAATAAATGTCAGTATTTTTGGATCCCTGCAAGGGGGTGAGAGTGGTTGAGCAGGACCAAGCGCTCTGCGTAAGATGAGCTAACTTTTGGCCGCAATACGGCATGGGGGATCTCAGTTCCACGACCAGGGATCGAACCCGTGCCCCCGTCCCCGACTGGGAGCACAGAGTCTCAACCACTGGACCACCAGGGAAGTCCCGAACTCTGGGCTCTTTTTCTTTTTTGGTGGTGGCCGGTGCACGACCCTATTAAGTAGAGAAGGCAACATAAAATGAATACAGAACCGTAGTACTACACCCTTCCTGGCCCTTTCCTAGACTCGTACTGGGATTGAGGATGCGATTGGATGTGGCCCACGTTCAGTGAACAGCTCTGTAGACTAAGTGCTTTACATACAGTTATTTCGTTCAATCCACACAGCTCCGAGACGTGAGCAGGATTCCCTCTGCTTTGCAAGCAGGAAGCTGCGGTTCAGAGAGGCTGGGTGACACGGGTGCGGCCGTGTGGCACAGCCGGGACCTGAGCCCACGCTGCCTTGCTTGTTCACTTACCTCCCGCAGTCATACTGGCTGGTGGGTCCAGCGTAAGCATCCCCGACTGTATACGGCGGCCCCCTCTCTGGAGAAGTGGGTACACGCACTTCTTTCTACTCCCCGAGAAACGTTCGCATGAACACAATTTTCTCACAGGAGCCCCAACTGGCCACAGATTCTCCTGTGGCTCTGCCTTCCCAGCGGGGCTTCCCCGAGGGATCCAGAAAGTCAGAGGGAGGTCAGGAACATATTGCGTATTTGATAAATGAATGGGCTTCAAAGACTGTGGGTTAAGAAGAAGAAACCCAAGCAGCTGGCCCTCAGAAGCTTCCCCAGTCCTTTGGAGAAGGCCTCCTCATGTCTTGTGCAGGTTCTGGGGCTGATGGATGTCTTCCGATGATAAAGCACCATCTCCCTCACTTCTCCATTCCCCCAGACCCTAGAAGAACAGACCCCTAGGGACCCCTGGGTCCCTTAGCCGCGCTGGGTACCAGTCCTCAGAGCAGCATCGTGCGACTGAAAGACAAGCCTGGGTTCAAATCATAGCTCTGCACCAGAGACCACACGACTTCAAGGAAGTGAATTAATTACTCTGAGCCTCAGTTTGTGCGTCTGTAAACGCGAGGGTGACGGGATACACTTAGCCATGAAGATTAAATGAGGAGATATATAGATATATATATATATATGCACTTCATAGTATAACAGGCACTCAAATTTTTATTTTCTTTTAATCCTGTCAAAAGTTTTATGTTCTTTCAACTTTCAATCTTGTCTCAGAAAAGAGAGCCTTGATTTTCTTAGAAGTAAACCCAAATGTCTTTCCTCTCCGTCTGGTCTCTTTCTCCAAATCACATTGGCCCTTAAATCAGCGGCCACTGAAGTTCCAGAAAGTCAAGACAATAGCATATAGTCTTTGCACATCACACATAAATGTCATAGTTTCCAGGAGAGGATCCCAAAACCCTTTGGCTGTAGGTCCCGTGAATCCTACCCACCTACAGTCTGAGACCCAGAAGCAGGAGCAAAAGAGAAGAAAACAGCACCAACCTCAGCGCAGCTGCTACCAGAGGTCCTGTCAGAGGGGAGAAGAGCTGTCCAGGGGGAAAGGGAGGTGCTGCCTATTTAAAGTGTGGCTCCCACTCCTCGGGCACTTGTAATTCTAAACTTGACCCCGCCCACATTCCGCCCTCCGTCCCCTGCTCCCCCCCCCTCCGCTCCGCTCCGCACAGACACTCAGACACACACACACACACACACACACACAGAGACACACATAGACAGACACACACACACGCACGCACGCACACGTGCACACACGTGCACAGGCGCGCTTGCACTTACCTGCATATAGAAAAGTCTGAAGAAGTGTTCGCCGAACCGTTATTAGTGGCTACGTTTGGAGAGTGGGGTTGGGGTCAGGAGAGGAAGTAAAGCTTTTTAAGCTTTAGTATTATTTGAAGTTTTAAATAATGTGCTAGAATTGATTTTTTAAATGATTGTCTCCACCAACACAGAAAAGGAAGTGTCAAGGTTCACAGCAAAGCGAAGTCCTACCCCCACCAGGGCACAAGAGCTGACAGATGGGGAAGAGGACGGCGGAGGGTGGAGTCATCGGAGCCCCAGCCCCACCAGGGCGGATGTGCAGAGTGCGTGGAGGCTGCTCGGGCTCCAAGGCCCCGTGGTCCAGGGTCTGGGTCCTGCTCCTACCCCTTCCCAGGCTGAGGCCGTGAACAAGGCGTCCAGCTTCCAAGAGTCCTATTTTCTCACCTATAGAAAGAGGAGAAGCGAATGGACCTGGAGATGATCGTACTAAGTGAAGTAAGTCAGACAGAGAAAGACAAGTACCATAGGATATCACTTACATCCTAAATCTAAAATATGATACAAATGAACTTACCTACAAAACAGAAACAGACTCACAGACACAGAGAACAAACTTACAGTTACCAAAGGGGAAAGGGGAGAGGGAGGGATAAATTAGGAGTTTGGGATTAACAGATATACATACTATATATAAAATAGATAACCAACAAGGACCTACTGTACAGCACAGGAAGCTATACTCAATATCTTTTTTTTAAGTGTTCTTTTTTAAAAATTTTAATTAATTAATTAGGTTGCGCCGGGTCTTAGTTGCGGCAGAGGGCTCCTTAATTGTGGCACATGGGCTCCTTAGTTATGGAATGCAAACTCTTAGTTGCGGCATGCATGTGGGATCTAGTTCCCTGACCAGGGATCAAACCCAGGACCCCTGCATTGGGAGCATGGAGTCTTAACCACTGCACCACAAGAGAAGTCCCTCAATGTCTTGTAATAACCTATAATGGAAAAGAATCTGAAAAAGAATAGATACATATGTGTATGTATAGCCAAATTGCTTTGCTGTATATCTGAAATATTGTAAATCAACTATACTTCAATAAAAAATAAAAATTAAAAAAAAAAGAAAGAGGAGAATATTCCTTACCTTGCAAAGTTGTGGGAGGTTTCAGGAGATTTGAGTAAAGGGCCTAACACACAGCAAGCCCTGATTTACCCTTAAGAAAGTATTCACGGTGAGCGAGGAAGTTTCCTGAAGGGGACGGGATTGAGAGACCCCTGAGCAAAGCCGGCTCCTGCCAGACAGAAGGAATGAGTCAGGGGGTATGAGGGGTGACTGAGTGGGATCGTACAGATGTGCCAGTGAGGAGGGTACATCAGAGACTCTAAGGCAGTTTCTATCCCTCTCATCCCCCATCCCCCATCTAGGACGCAGAAGCACATCCTGAAAACACCCAAGGAGCCTCGTGGGGATGATTATTCTTAACGTTTCTGCCGCCCCTTCCCTCTCCCCACCACCATCCATCTGTCTAATTTAAGTGTGCAAAGCAATAGACAAGGGTTTCCTGAGAAAGGCTGCAAACTCATGCAAAAAAGTCCATCTTCAAAAGCAATTAACTTCCATCCTTACTTATCAGCGAGCCGTACTCACTAATGACCTGGCACTTGTAATCTAAAGTCACCGGATAACTGAGGTTTACCGAGGTCTTCTGAGAAGCCGGATGCCGCGCAGCTGTTGGCGATGCTTCTCAGCCCTCCTGTGTCCTGACGCAGGGGAGCCTCTGGGATCCCAGTGTCCAGGATCAGTGGGGTAAGTCTGAGTCAGTTCTGAGTTGCCGCTCCTGTACTAGGCAACGTCTGGTTTTTCTTGTTGATCCTATTATGTTTGCATAACTGCTGCCATGTTACCATGTTGATTGCCACTTCGTTCCTCTCCAAAGCTTCATTCCTCTCCAATTTCTTTTCCTCTATAAAGCAGGAGCGATGCGGTAGGTCTTTTGCCCTGCCTAGGCTGACTAAGTTTAAAGAAGTGTGAGAACCCTGATAGATGAGCGCGCACGACAGCTCCTCACAACTCTGTCTGGGGTCGAGCACGAGTCCGGCAGGACAAGCCTTGTCTCCCTCGGGTCACCAGCATCTTTGGGTCTCCTGGGTGCAGGGTCCGGGAACTGGAAACAGTGCTAGAATCAGCGTTCAAGGCTCCCTTCTCAAGAGGCTGCTAAGTTTCAAGACGCACTTGAGATCGTTAGTGAGGGTGACTGGAGTCTGTCCTCCCAGAGCCGTATCTACGAAACAAGGCAGACCCTGGAGAAGCAGACTAGGAGGCCTTGGTTTCTATCAAATTGACCCTGGGTTGTTTTTGTTCTTGTTTTTGTTTGTGTGTTTGGGTTTTTTTTTTTTTTGCGGTACGCGGGCCTCTCACTGTTGTGGCCTCTCCCGCTGCGGAGCTCAGCGGCCACGGCTCACGGGCCCAGCCGCTCCACGGCATGTGGGATCTTCCCGGACCGGGGCACGAACCCACGTCCCCTGCATCGGCAGGCGGACTCTCAACCACTGCGCCACCAGGGAAGCCCGACCCTGGGTTTTTTAGATGCCAACATGCCATGATCTAGTCTCCCAACAATTTTTTTGGGTCTCTCCTAGGAGTGAAACAAGAGCAAATAAATTTTCAAAGGAGCTTGATTCGTTTCAGAAAGGATATTTCCGAGCAGCACTGGTTTCAATATTGGAATGGGTTGGCCAAGGGAGTGGCCTGTGGGGGCGGTCTTCTCCTCGGGAGATCCTGTAAATTAATGGGCATAGTTTCGTTTAACCACAGGGGTGAGGGACCTTTCTGATCCCTGGTGACCTTTTTAATCTCTTTTCAAAGATCACACCAAAAAGGAAGAAAGGAGCAAGTGGAATGAACTAAACACCAACAAATCATGGTTTGCTAAAACTGGAACAATTTGAGCAAAAAAGTGAATGACGATGGTCCTGAATTATAACCCCAAAGAATAAAATACATTCACGAGTTCACACTAACATAACTAAATAATCCATTAAATAAATAAATGGGGGAGGAAGGCCAGCCCTTCCGTACAGTGGAATTCCAACTAATAAATGCATGAAGGAAAGAGAGAGGTTGAAAATCAGCCCTAGACAAATATCACCATGATAACTGTTGTAGACAAGACCCACCAATGAATGCTAAAATCAGTGGGTGCAAGTTCGAGAGGGACAGAGTTTACGCAGTTCCAAAGTATTTTCCCCAAGATATTTATTAAGTACAAGGGAAGATAGGAACTTCACAGGAGAGCAAGCAGAACGCAGTAGAGGTGGCAGAAGCCACCTGAACTGAGTGACCGAGGTAACAAGACATCAGTATCCACATCCTGAACCGTGTGAGACAATTACTAAGAAGGACACAACGTTTCTGTGGCATTCTTGCCAAAAATGTACTTCACTCATGAGAAAACATAAGACAAACCCAAAGTGAGGGACATTGGGCAAAACAACTGACCACGAACTCTTCAGGACAGGGGACTAAGGGGAAATTACAGCTGAGTGCAGCGTGGGTCCTGGGTGGAGTCCTGGATGGGATGCCAGAACAGAGAGGGATGTCGACGTAAAGCGGTCTTACGTTTAGTTGAATCGTACTCTACCGGTGGTAATATCCTGACAAACGATGCAATAGTTACATGATTTGTTAACACGGGGGGAAGATGGGTGGTGGGTGTATGGAAACTCTCTGTACTATTTTTGCAACGTTTCTGTAAGTCCGGAATTAACTGAAAAGAAAACTTTTTAAAAAAGATGATGTGGTCCTGACTGTTGTCGTGCCAAGTCCTTGCCTCTGCTGTGAAAAGCTTTGATGTCACGCTCGGGAACCATGGCTGTTACTGTGATGTGTTCTCTTGTGCTGTGTTTGATTCCAGATAGGACAATTAGCCTAAAGTCTATAAGCCCAAGTCATAAATAAAACCCATGACACCGAACATTAATAACATCAATCGTCACCATGATTAATGTCTCCTGAGCACCTCCGAGGTGCCAGGCACTGTGCCCAGTGCTACGTATCCACGCACCATCCCATCTTATCCTCAGAACAAGCCTGTGAAACAGGGATTGCCACTATGGCCATCTTAGAGATGAGAAAACATAGGCTTAGAGGGAATTAAATGACTTGCCGAGGGTCACGCAACTTAGAAAACGGTAGAGCCAGAGTTTGCACTCAGGCTTGTAGGATTCTGAGGTCCATTACTTCTACCTACCATGCTCCACGCTACACTTTAACCCCAGGGGGAGAAAGACAAGAATAAAGGTTAAGAAGAACAGCTCCGGCAGTGTGTTTTTTTGGCCTATGGCTGCCCCCTGGGATTAAACGTACTTTCTTAGGATAGAAGTGAATAATGAAATGACAAGAAAAATGTTGTTTTCACTGAAAACTTCATCAGATCTGAAGAATATTCTTAAAATCTAATGAGAAGACTCATTCCAATCCTGGTGTGTTCTGCAATCTTCCCCCACCATTCCGCCCTCCTATCGAGGGAAGGAAATCATACCTTCTCTTTAACTCCAGAAAATTAATTGTAGTTCTTTTCCAGTTGTATCCAGTTTCTTCTGATCCTGTCACCCTGATTCCTTGCCTGATTCTCAGAGCACAGAGAGAGGAGAGTTTGCAACATTCATGTCACTAATCCCGGCAGGAAGCTTGAGGCTGATGAACGGTTGGCCACCAGGGTAAATGGGGTCTACAAGCCCAGAGCTCTGGTGAGGGATTAGGGCCAGGGGACAGCATGTTAAGATTCATGCTTGAAAACATCAGTAGTTGGGGGTCTTTCATCCTAAACATTTTTAAACACCACTGCAGGAGTTCGCAATGGGCAAGACATATGTTGATGCCTGATCGCTTAGCTGATGGGTGTCTCTCGTCTCTCCCTGCCGATGACTCTTCTCATTCCAGAGAGGGGAGGCAAAGGGGGCCATGACCACAGAGCTCTCTCCGTCCTGGTTTCCCTGAACAAAAAAACCACAGGGCCCCTTCAAACGTGCCGTGCCAGCAACCTCCAGCCGAGGCCCACCAGGAACACACCTGTGGTTTACTAGTCGCAGCTGAAGGGAGGATGCCCACCACGTGTGTCCGTGAGGGGCCGTCAAGGAAGGGTCTATTGTGAGATCAGTGTGTCAGGTGGCTGTGAGGAGGGATCAGGGAGCAGAGCATGGCTCTGGGCTTGCACGCTATCTGGAAGCCGCACCGCAGGGCATGTGGGATCTTAGCTCCCCAGCCAGGGATCGAACCCACGGCCCCTGCGTTGGAAGACGGATTCTTTACCACCGGACCTCCAGGGAAGTCCCTGGAAGCAGGGATATTTTATGATTGGATTTCTTAATGAATCTTGTCTAAAAAGCAGGAGGAATGAAGTGAAGCTAAAACCTGGAATCGGTAAGGAAGCAGCAGTCACCCACGTGAGCCAGCGTGGGGTGCCGGCTTGTTTTGGGGGTTTGGACCACGTTCACGTTTCTGTCTTTGTTCCATCTTTGGTCACTGACTGGGCTTCTTTTTTTCTTGATCCACCACAACCACGTGGCCTTGTCTGGTGCTGACGTGGAACCAGGCCTGGCTTCTGGCAGCACCAAGGCCTGGCTGGCAGGGCCCGACCCATCTCCAGCTGTCAGGGGCCCCTTTTCTTCCCTCAGCCACAGCGGCCATGCACTCAGAGGGCTGAGCTGAGCGGGTGGGAGGTGGTGACTCGTGGGGGAGGGGGATCCCATGTTTCTGCTCAAGGCCTTGGCCACAGGCCTTCTCTTCTCTCTTCCTGTATCCTCCAGCCTTCAGACTAAGCCCAGTGTCATCCTTCTTCACTCTTATTATTGCCTGCTGCTGAGACACGCTGGGACCTGGCACCTGGGACCCTCTGCTGCAGTGCTTGCACCTGGAGAGACGTCTCCTCCAGCAACAAAGAAACTATGAGGGACTAAAAATACCTGCGTGCCTGCAGAGCTGGGGCAAATTATGGACAACATGATACAAAAAGACCAAAAAAACCCAACTGCCACTTCTGAAGGGCCGGGAGCAAAAGCAGGGTACTGGGCATGCCCCCTGCTCTCAACACCAGAAGGGGGAGGGCAAAACACCTAAGCCGTGCGTCCAGCCCGACCCCTGGACACACCCCTACCTTCACCCCATATAAGGAACCAGCTCGCCTCGCCCCTACACCCCCCAGGGGGTGAGCAAGGGAACCTGTTGCTCTCACTCTCTCTGCCGCAGCAGGGGCCCCAGTAAAGCCTTGCCTGAGTTTCTTGTCTGGCCTCTTGTCAATTTCTATTGACTGGGGAAGGCCAAGAACGCGCGCTGATCGGTAACACTGCTACACCCTCCGTTAAAAAAATTTTTTTAGAGTAGATGGACGTCACTGGGCCATTTTCCTCTTGATTCTTCCACAAGATTAAAATGTAAGCTTTTCGGGATCGGAAATGGCAGAGCACTGATGGGAAGTCTGGTGGAGCCTGGTTTTAGTGGCCTCGTATCAACTAGGAGGGAAGGACGGTAACAGGACAGCCTCCTTGGCGTTGCTGACGCCCCTTTTCACTAGCATCCCACCTGCTCCAGGGGTCACCTGCTTTGTTAAGGGTCCTTACGTCATGGCTGATGGCCACACACGTGGTAATCTGGTCCCACCCACCCCAGTTCCCCCTCTAGTAAAACCCTTTTCCTCGACGTACCCCGTTTGCTCCTGTCTCGCGGGCCTCCCTCCTCCAACCCCCTCCTGGCGCTTCAAGACCCAGCTCGCACCCCACACCCTCCATGCAGCTCTCAGCTGCCCCCCTCTCAGCCAGCCTTCTGTGCATTTAATTCAGCCCTTAGTCCTTCCTGTGTTGCTCTCTAACTGGTTCCATTGCGGGAGTTTGTGAACTCCTTAAGGGAGAAAGCTTAGTTTTCTCTATTCCAAGGAACACCATGGTGCTGGACACACCCACTGATTGATCCATGTCAGGCTCCCACCCCGGGGTGGGATACGCATGTGAAAACTGAGGAAGGGGGAGGCGGGGGTGAGCATGCACTTCTCCCCACGCATCATGCAGCTCATGCTATCGCACGTGCAGTGCCTTTCACAGAGCGCCTGCCGACGGAAGGGACAGCTAACCCAGGAGCACGTGATCCTTCCCTGGAAAGTGATTCCCAGCACGGACCGCAGCAAAATCACTGGAGAGCTGTAGAATGTATAGAGAGCTGCGTGTAACTACCTATACACAGCTGTCTAGCTAGCTGGCTACGTATACGTATTGTCCATAACTTATGTATAATGTATAGCCTGGGCCCAGCCTGAGAGCTTCTGAGCCAGTACCTCCAGGCTGGGGTCCAGATCCCTCGTACTTTCTGAGCCCCATGAGGTGCTGTTAACGCACAACCAGGGTTGGAGCTACTGCATCTGAAGAAGTTCCCACGTCGAAACCTGGCTC